AATACATTTATGAATAATAGTTTCAATTAATCAAAATTATCTGTCACAAAGACAAAATAAACATTATTTATTAGAGAAACAGATCGTTTCATTGCTACATTTTTAGATACCCATTTATTTCAATGTTTTGTTAAAGAATTACATTTTTTTAAACTTATCGTAAGCACGTGGATTATAGACGCTTATTAAAATAAACCACTTAAATAAAGTAGATCAGCTTTTCAAATCTCAATACATAGTAGTTTGATTTCTGATATCGATAACTGAACCACCTGACTACCTTATCAAATCGATCGATGTACTAAATTTTGTTTAATACTGTCCAGTTAATATTATTCATCCGGTAAATAGTTATAATAATAATGATTGTTGTGAATAAGACAAATGTTGATATCGCAATCAGTTCAGTGTACTCGGTAATTGTTTTAAAATGAGCTGGAAATTATCGTCAAAAAGCACGAGATTACAAGAAATACTTTATAAAGTAAAAACAGAAATCTTTATTAAATAAAGGATGGATATATTAAACAAATACCGATTAAATAAAATTCTTCTTAGTCTAGTTTTTTTTAATTATTAGAGTATTTGTTATTATTTTGTTTGAGTTCTTTAATTTTTATATATGCCAATTTCCCTTTTTTTTTCATTAATTTTTAATTTTTATTTTCTCTCAAATTATTTATTAGAAATTAGTTTTTCCTACAAGTTATAATAAAAACAAATTAGGCAATATGTATAATTTCTTTGAACTAAACTTGACAACCAAAATTGCTAGTAAAAACTAAAACGTACTGAAATTTATAACAAAACATCCGTTAGTTTAACTCTAAACACTATGATAGTTTTTTGTAGACTATTATTTGTATATATACAAGGTGTGTGACTTCTCTTCTCAAAGGGGTAATCTGGAGCTATATAGAAATTTGAAAACCCTTGAAGTACATTTCAGTATTTGTTTAGTATAATAAAATAGGTACTTATGTTGTAAAACAGAATTTGCTAGCAAAACTTCCAAATAACACGGCTTATTCATTAGGAAAATTTTAAAGCAAATTTTAAAAGAATAAACAACTACAAATAGATAAATAGGAACACATGGAAGTAAAATAATTTTAAAATATCTTAAACTACTTAATTAAAACGATATTTTTTCCTTACCTTTAAACTTCAACATAATATTAAAGAAAATACTTCCTTTACATTAAAACGATCACATAAATAAGCACTGTTGATCACTTTTCAAACACGTCTCTGTTATTTAAACAAGATATAATGAATTAGATAGCACAAATTTTCACTTCCCACGCCTTCAAAATATCTCCAAGACGGAAAAAAAAGCTAAAATCTTAACCTACGGAACGATTCTGTACAAATGTTCTGTGGAAAGAAGCGGTTTTGATTTTAAGTAGACCGTCCTTTGTTATCGTTTATTATCAAAATTCATTGGCGGGCTGTGATAAATTTATAGTTTACAATGTAGAGAAATACAAAATAGAATAAAGCAGATATTAAGGCTGCTAAAAGTGGAGAAATATTTATAGTCTACTAAAAATAATACAAGAGATATTAAAATGAGCAAATAAGAAAAATTAAAATAGAAATAGTTTTCTATTTTCAACCTTTTATTTTTTCTACTTTAATTGTGTATACAGAGTGTTTCTTAACATTATTTCAAGATTCGAGATATGAAGTTTCTGTAAATATATGTCCTAATGTCTTATTTTTTTTTATACAAATACAGAGCTATTAATTAAAAAAATTGGCGCCTGGAGGCACGTATAGCCGCCCATACTAAAATATGTTAATAAAAAGTTGGTAGGCAGTTCTTTTAGTTTCAAAGTAAAGGAATTTTTCCAATTTTTTTAATCTCAAAAACTGCGACTTGGACTGATTTTGATGTTATTACAAATTTTGTTGCAAATATTATTCCTAATCTTAAATTGAAAACCGCGTTTCGCTAGCTACTGTAATTTTGGAGTTACGATTTATTAAAAATTTTAACCCCCTCCCATACCCCCTTACCAACCCCCAAAACTAATGGCCAGATTCTCGGGTGCCACAGTATTTTTGTGGCAAATTTGGTTAAAATCGGTTTAGTGGTTTTTGAGTTATCGTGTTACAGACGGACAGACAGACAGACAGACACCATGAAAATATTTTGTATTTAGGTTATTTATGACCAAATAACTCATTTTGCCGATCTTAATAGCCTACCATACCTATTGGTATGGTCGGCTAAAAATAGTATACAGGATGTCTCAGATTTTAATAGGGAAAATTAAATAGACGATAGAACTTGCAAAAATAAAACAAAAAGTTCATATCAACTTGTAAAATTTAAAGCTTCCTTTTCGAGATACAGGGTGTTAAGTTACTTATTAAAAGAAAAAAAAATTAAGATATTTGAAAAACTATTTAATCGATTTGGATATAACTTGACCCGTTTATAATACTTACTATGGGACTTAATTTGACGTAATTAGATTTAAGTTTAATGACCAGGGTCGGCGGTGGGGCATCACTGTTAAATTATTTTAAAGGAAAAAAAATAGGCACGTCACTGCTTTTTTAGAAGTTTAATATTATTTTTGGATTTAGTAATTAAAAATATTATTTTTTTGTCTCCTGACTTTTTTGTCTATCTTGCTTACTTTTTGCGAAAAAAAATAAATTCTAATTGGTAATTAATATTATAATTGGTATTCTAATGGTACCCTGTATCTCGAAAAGGAAGCTTTAAATCTTACAAGTTGATATGAACTTTTTGTTTTATTTTTGCAAGTTCTATCGTCTATTAAATTTTCCCGATTAAAATCTGAGATACCCTGTATATTTCAGATATTGATGAGATGAGATATAGATATTGATGAGATGAAAATATGTTTGGTTTGGTTTGGTTTGGCAGAATTGGCAATAGAATTATCAGAAGTTGTAAACTATTGATTTAAAAATTATTATAAACAATATCTAAAAAATGTCTGTAAATTTAGCCTATGTCTATAAATTTAGCCTAGTCCTCTTTGGTCAGTTTTTTTTGTACAGAAAAAAAGACACATGGCATTAAATAGCATATTTAAAAAACATCGCCGTTTTTGCAAAGTACCGTATGATTCTCGGTATGATCGAAAAAGCGATAGCCCTTTGGCTTGGAAATGACGATCGATGACATTTCCCAGATAATTTTACATATGAAGTGACAGCGATCTTTATTTCATAGCCATCTGTGAAGCCGTTTTTTTTTTCGATCACATAGTACCGTATGATCGAAAATAAAAACGGCGTCCAGTTCGTTTGGAAATAAACATCGATGACATTCCCCATATAATTTTACATATAATATGAAAAAAATGATAGCGATCTTTTCATAGCCATCGCTGACGCCGTTTTTTTTTCCGATCATATTAGTATTAACAGCGTACTTTTTTCTTGTAAAAAATGTATGGTTTTTATTATTGGTAAATATTTATATACAGGGTCGTTGAAATGTATGGGAACGGGCGATTATAATGTAAAATACAAAAGATATCGCAAAAAGTTAAATACAAAAGTTATAGGGTTTTTAAATGTCTAATAGCTAGTAGTAAATTTAAGTATACAGGGTCGGTAATAAAGTTGTGGCACTTCAAAATTTATTTATTTAAATGCAACCCCCTCTATATTATAACATATTTCAATTGTTCCTTCAAATTTAAGCAATAATGGTAATACACATAATGTACGTAAATTCAACCCTTTCCGAATTATAAAGTTTTGATTATAAAATGTTAAGATTTTTTTTTGTAATTTCCAGATTTAATATAATCTCATTTTATACATAAATGCTAACTTGAAAACTAATGTATCACAGTTTCCACATCATGCATCGTTAAATGAACCCGAACACATCGAAATTAATTGAATTAAATTGTTTAAGTCATATTTTCAAAAGTCAATAATTCGGAAACCGTTGGTTTGAGGTACATTTTGTGATGTGTCACTTTATGACCGACCCTGTATACTTAAATTTATTACTCGCTAATAGACATTTAAAAACCCTATAACATTTATATTTAACTTTTTGCGGTACCTCGTATATTTTACTTAATAATCGACCTTTCCCATACATATCAGCGACCCTGTATAGAGTTGTGGTGTGATTATTGAAACAAAAATTGTAAAATGCTAATTGTTCTTATTTATGATGCCCATGTCGCTATTAATAAATTTCAATCAAAATTATAATACTTAGTATAAAAATATTCCAAATTTTATTATAGATATCAGATAGATATCATCACCAGTACCAGTTAAAAAAAATCTGTAATTTGTCACCCTATATATTACATCTAAAACAAAATACTTTATAAAAATTTAAAGACAGCCCTGTATATACAGTGTCTTACAAAATTAAGCATATTGGCCTTTAGTGAAAAAAAATTTTGAGGTAAATATTCTGAAGACATCCATTATATTATACATAAATATTATAAAGAATATTCTAATAAATAAATTGTGAACTGAAATAGAAGATAATATAAAAAATCCACACTTAGTTTCCTATAACAAATAAGAAAATAAAAGAAAAATAAATAACATATGATAAATTAAACAAGCTAAAAATTTCTAATTGATTTTTCATGCAAAATTAGGCTGTTTTACTAAGACATATTTTTATTATTTAAAAGAAAAAGAAATATATTTTGAAGGTTTATTGGTTATTTACAATTTAGTTGTTAAAACGGCTTGATTTCAATAGATAAATTATTGTAAGATTTAATATCAGTAAAAATCAAAGACAATAATGTAACTATTACAACCTCTTGTAAGTTAAAAACTTAAGCTAACAAAAAAGTACCCTTAAAAATGAATTAATTAATATAAATCAAACATATCTATTATTGTATTGAGGTACCTACTTCTTCAATTTTATCTCTAGTAATAAATTAGGTAACATAACAATGTTCACAAGAATGACACCGAACTTTTCATTTAAAACAAAATAAACTAGTCAAATTGTCATTTTAATGTTTCTGTGAATCATCCGAACTTTTTGAACTATTACTTTCCTCGCTACTTGATTCTTCCTCCGATGAACTGTCTTCTCCATCACTGCCCCTTTCAGCAGCTTCTTTCTTGGCCATGATCTTTTTGAACTCGAGAACTGTTATTTTCTTAGGCAGAATATCTCTTAAGAAATTATATTTCTCATCGGAATGAACCACGTTGGACAAATGTTTGTAATCTAGTTTTCTGCCTTGGTTTGTTTCACTATACCCTTCTTGGGTGAGAGATCTTATAAACAGTTCAGCAGCTTTCGACATGATAACTGAAGATTCTTTACTCACAATTTCAACATCTGAGGAACTTTTCATAATTGTGTTTACCCTGCCGACGGGCAAAACTGGCTTTGTACTTGTTAACTTTGAGTCCATTGTGAAAAATTAGATCTTCAACGGGTACTTCTACAGAACAAAACAACACAAAAAAGAAAATATGAAAACAAAAATAAAACTAGAAGGCCAAGATATTGTACAGAAGCTAACCAAGAGGCTGATGATAGATAAGCGAGGAAGTAGTAAAATTAGTTCTATTTTCTAAAAAACTCACCTAAAAAATTGCTGAAACGCTGCTAGAAAACAAGCATTTTGGAAAGATCGGATGATGGATCGATTCTTAGTGCAGTGAACGATGAAAATAAATGGTATACAGTTTGAATTATTGTCACTTTTTTATTTACTTTAAATATTATTTAGTTAGATTAGAACACTGATTTTATCTAATTATATTTGACACAGCAAATACGAACAACAAACAAGAAAATCAAAGATGAAAAGCACTACCGAAAAAGTCTGCACAAATTAAATGGATAATGAATGGGCAATATGCACAGGCAATATGGGCATTGGGCTCACGCAAGCGCAGTAGGATATTAAGGAGTTTTTCTTAATTTTTTGGTTTTCCTTTTTTTTTATTAAATTTTCTCGTGGTTTTCTCCTTTTCTCTAGATTTTCTGCTTAGCTCCTCTGAACATAATAGAATAAATAGAACAATAAAAATTTGCAGAAATTAGATTGTCAGTTTAAAAACCAATTTATGGTTATCGAGAATTATTTTAAAGTCAATCGATCCTTTAATATTTTATAAATACCATAATATAGAAAAAAATAGTATATAACGGGGTATTTTATATTGAATCACTAAAACGAGAATAGTTTTTTCATGCTTTCTATGTTATTTCTTAATGTTTAAAAATTTCATGCTTTCTATGTTAATGTACCTATTCTCTGCTTAACCCATTATTTCATTTGAAAAGATCGAGATCGATATTTTTCTTTCCGTATTTAAGACATCTCTAGCATAGTTCAAAGATCTTGTTCTGTGGTTACTGTCATTCTGACGTAAACTTAACCTTACTTAAAACTTGAAAAATAAACATACAAATCCAAGAAATCTAAAAATGATGTCTGATGAATCTGAAAATGATATAGCTTTTGAGGAAAACCATGAAAATGATGTGTATTATAATAAATATAAACTACTATTGGAAGAATGCTCCCAACTGCAGAGAGCGAATGAAATTCTAGTTTTTCGAATACAAGAAGTAAATAAGATAACAAAACGAAGGCATAAAGAAGTACAATTTTTCAGGTAAATCAATTATTTCCCCTTAACTCATTTAATATTTAGCTATTTAACATACGGTATTATTAATGTGATATTCGGTATTACCCGATATTCTATATCTCAAGAAATTCCATTCTGTAATATAATTGCTAGGTATATTGATATTTTTCTACCAAATATGCAGTCATAAATTGTGAATTTAATGAATAACCAAATACCAATTGTTACTGAATGAAATCTTTGAGAAATACAAAATAGCTCTTTAGCCATATAATATTATTAATAAAAATTTAAAAATTTAGACAGCGACTATTAAATATTCACGGTGAAGATTGGAGTGTTATTCCTCCAGATATACTCTCAGATGAAGAGCTCGATTCTAAATCAACACCAAATATTATTCCAAAAGAAAAAATAAAACAAGAAAAGCTAGATGAAGGATACAAAGATAAAGGACTTGAAAAGACAAAGTCCGATAGGTCAAAAACATCAAAGAAGACAACAAGAAGGAGGAATACAAAGTCAGAGAGAGATCCGAATGCCCCAAAAAGGCCCTCAAATCCATTTTTTCAATTTTGCCAAGAACAAAGACATCTGCTTTTGGATCAGATTATAGCAGATTTAAAACCAGGTGAAATAGAACCATCAAAAAGGGAACTCACAAGACAACTAGCACTTAAATGGAATTCTCTATCTACTCCTGATAAAAAGGTAAGAATTTGAGTTTAGGAGATTAAAGATTTCCCCATGACACTTTCTTTTAGATATATGTTGATCGGTATGAAAGGTCTAAAGAAAAGTACAATGCAGAAATGGAGGATTACAAAAAGTCAAAGTAGGTTACTTTTAATTTTCTAGGACAAATTAATGTTATATATAACAGAAATTTTATTTATTAGTGTATTCAATACATAAATATATTAAGCCTTGAAAGAGTCCTTTTCCTTTCGAATGTTTTTCATTGTGGAAACAGCATCACTACAACTTGCATGTCTCTGAACAGTGCCCATCATAACTCTCATAAATGGATTAATTTTCTTCTCATTTCCTATTGTTGATGGAACCTTTAAATGTTAGTTGTTAATATGATAATACTTATTTGTTTTTCTTTCATACTGTTGGAATTCCTTTAGCCCTTTTTTGTTCTGCTTCTTCAATTGCTTTTACAATATCTCTGTTTTCTTTTTCTACATGCCTAGCAAATTTAAGATTTTGTTCAGTGTATTCGTGACCACAAAAAACTAGGGTTTCATCAGGTAATTTTGCCAGTTTTTCTATAAGAGCTGTATACATTTGATCAGCAGTTCCTTCAAAGAATCTACCACATCCTCCTATGAATAAGGTGTCGCCTACAAATTTAAAGAAAGAAACATTTAAAGTATATTTTTCTTTTTTTTTTAAATAACCTGTAAAAACTGCTGATTGACCCGTAGAGTCTGTTAAATAGTAACAAATGTGGCCCGTAGTGTGACAAGGGGTAAACAGACATTCAACATCAATTTCTCCAATTTTGAATTTATCTCCATCACCAATTTTATTTGTTAAAGCTCCTATTCTATGGTCGCCCCCAAAAACTTCTAAAGGATGTTTAGATTTTTTTAATAATTCCTCATTCCCACCTGCATGATCCCAGTGATGGTGGGTTGTCAACACTTTTGTTAAGTTTACTTTTTCATTCTCTACTGCTTCCAAAACTGTGTTAGGTGCAACTGGATCTACTATTGCAGCCTGTTTAGTTGTTTCGTCAGTGATCTAAAGAAAGTCTACTGTAATAATAAAAACACAGATGATGTATGTACCTACCAAGTACATGTAATTATCACTAAGGGCAGGCAATACAGTGACTTTCATGTTGGGTAAAGATACGTTAATTTGTGAACTGTGATTGTTTCTAAATCCCAATGATTTTAGTGTTGCAACTAAAAATTAAGATTTACAATAATAGTCAGATATATACATACCCATATTTACCCTTAAAATATGCCGCTGTGAGTCCTTGAACAACTTTATTTGGTAACAAATTCGATATCAAACTAAACATTCTCAACAGTCATTATCAAAATGATTTTAAATAGTGACGCATAAACTTTACAAATTAACCTTTAATTTTAACTGGTAATCAGACTTACCTTTAATTTTTACTATATTACTTATTTATGTGCACCTTATCTGTCTTCTCTATTAAGGTAATAAAGGGTAATAGGTAATTAAAACTGAAATCAAGTCAAATGAAAATGAAATTAGACTGGATTTCAAAATTTTGACAGCTTTAGGTAAACCAGGGAGGTAAACACAAAACAAGGACAGAGACAAGGATAAATAAAATACGTAAACACATATTGGTAAACACTTAACAGGCAGATGTAAACAAAAGCGTATTTTTCTCTATGGATGGCTGTATTAAGAGTTGCCTATTGTTAAATGGTATAATCGGGCATTATATGATTATATTCTCCATATAAAATCAATAACTAAATATTTTCTTATTACTCTTTTATCTATGTCTATAAGACTAAAATTCGGTTATAGATAAAAGAAAGAAGAAAGGAAATTATAGTCACATCGAAAAAAGAGTATCTATTGTAAACAAAAATCAACATTTATTTATGTAAAAAACAATAAACTAACAAAAAATATACTGAAACTTTGAAGCTAGTCAAAAATAAGTTCTAAAAAGTTTAACAAAGACATATATCCAAGAAGGAACGTCTCTTTGGGTTTGTGCATCTTGTCCCAGCTTATATAAGTTGTGGCATTCTTCATGAAGTTGCTTTCTTAACTCAGAATTTTCAGTAACTATTACAAGCTGTGTTTCTAAGTCTCTTACTACTGATCTTGCACCAAAATTAGGAGATCCTACTATAGTCATACAAGGATATTCAGAATGAGGAGGGTAATACCTACAAACAATTATTATGATCAAAAACTATACAATTCTCTAATGTATTGTTTTCTTACCATAAACCTTTTGCATGATAAGTCCAGCCATCCCTTAGATATTCAAGCAATTTAATCCTAAATCCCTGATTCTTATTTTCAAACTGTTTTTTAAACATTCTAGCTATTAAGGAATATGCAAAAGGTATTCCGCCAGCAATGCCTTTGGCATTTAAAAATCCATTAGCATTAGGATGCGCCATTAAAATCTCGCAATTGGCCCGAGTTTCGTAAATTAAAGTGCTCATGTATTGGCTAGTCAAATTAAAATAGCCAGTAGCAATTTTTAATTTAGCATTTTTGGGAGCCTCAGCAAGAATTCTCTCTGTGATTAAAGAGTCATGTTCTATACCCAATTGGCCCATTTGAATTGTTGGAAATACCCATGTATCTATGACCAAAACATATTTTTATATGCATATCAATCCCACAAAATCAATAGTAGTTTAAATACTTACCACAACCCTGCGTCTGAATCATGTTTTGATCTTTTATGGCATCATCTAAATGTTGTTCAATTAAGTCTCCAGCTTTTTCAATAAATTTACGTTTATTTCCATCATATGGCGAATATTGCCAGTTATTTGAAAGATTTATTTTGTTGTGCTTGTCCATTCTTAAACTAAAACTTTCCACTTTACGTACCAAGCCACAGTAAAAATCTGTTAGTTTTTTATCTTTAATAATAAAATATCTATCTTGTCGATTTGTAAAATAATCATTAGACAAATTAGCACCACTTATAACTAAAGTGTCATCAAACACGTAAAGCTTCATGTGTTGTAAACCAACAATTTCATTGAACCTATTGGGTAAATATTTTTTTAAAAGACCTCTTAAAAATGGGGTGTGATATAAGGAAACGGTGCAATTAGATTCATTTTGTTGCAAAAGAGGCTGTAATACTGTCCTAGAATTTTCTCTATCTCGACTTCCCCTTGTATAGTCTAGTAAAATATTTATCTTCAGGTTATTGTTTCCAAAATACTTATTTTCTTTTAAAGCGTTTATTAAGTTCTTTTCTAATTCTCCTATACCAATATATAAACTCACTAAAGTAATTCTTTGGCTCGCTGTGGAACAATAGTGTAAAATGGTGTCATAAAATTGCTTTGGCTCTGATATAATTTGGATATTTTTTGCATTGACAGGAAAACATGGAGAGACATTAGTTAGCCAACTAAAACTTAATGTATCGCTCTTTGTAAATGGATGTGGGTAAATATAACTCTCCGAAGGAGTCTGTAAACATCCTTCAACGACACTGTTTACTATTCTGCGGATCATAGCTGAAATGATATGCGTTAATTACATATTTTTATTTTATTTATATTCGTATAATGTATTTGTAATCTGATTTACCTGAAACGTCTCTTTATTTTCATTTCTACTTCATTTATATAATTCTTTGTTTTTAAAAACAGACGAAATTATCACAATATAAAACACAAACACAACACAACCGTCCTAAAATTTATAACCTCATTTCCTCATTTTTCCCATCTGTCAATATCAGATGTTCTGTCATTTCATAATCTTCAATTTGAATTAGAGATGTATGGCACTATCGTAATATTGGATACTAGTAATGAGCATTACGGTTCTTTTTAGGGAATCGAATCAAGCGATTCAATTTCTCATATGAATAGACTCTTACCATTTGTTCATTTGAACAAACTACAAACATATTTTGCGTATCACAGTATAAATAGATATATCTTGTAAATAAATAAATAATATAAAACATAAAATTTGATTACTAATAATTATTACCCTTGTTTATACAGGGTGTCCCAGAAATGAGTGCAGATATTTTAAGGGGTGGTAGATCTGGCCAAAAGAAACATATTTTCTCTTTACCATTTTTAAAATAGATTGAAAATAACCGAGTTATTTAACTTTGAAAGTTTAAAAAAAAAATTGCGACATTTTGAGAGCCGCCGGGGAATCTCGCGGATCCCCCGGCGCGGGGGAGAGATCTCGCGGATCTCAGCTTGTTCGCCGCCCGCTGTTGCCACATCGACTAGAAAGACTTAAAAAGTACTTGCAAAATCCCACACCATCCAAGAGGTTCTGCAGAGGTGCGTTACTTTTTTTAAGTGGGTGATCGCCAGTAGCCCTACTTTTCACATTACACAAAATAAACTAAAAGAAAAAAAACTTACCAAACAATAAAAAAAGATATCCCTATAGCAGAGAGATACAACTGCAGAGCTTTCTTTTTTTCCATTTTACCACTCTTAAAACTGCACATAACACTACACTTAATAACATCACTTCACTACAATTCTTAACAACACTATGCAAATTTTCAACTGTGGAAATATTGGCTCCCCTATTAATTTTAGAGCTAAATCGTAAATGGTTTTTAAAGATACATTACAAATTTGCACAAGGGGATCCAATATCTCGACAGTTCAAAATTTGCATGGGATATCCTATATTTCCAACGATGATGCACCACCCGGTATACCCTTCGCTTCTTGACTGCATGCTATTATAATAATGTTCAAAATGACGACCTCCATTTCCAATACATGCTCTCCTTCTTCTGAGCATGGAATTTTTAACGTTTTGCAGCAATTCTTCGTTGCTTTTCCCGAATCCCTCAAATGCTGAACCATACTTACAAAGGTTCGAGCATTAGGGATTTGTCTATTCGGGTACTCTTCGGAATAAAGTCTCCGAGCTTCTACAGCGCTTTCCCCTGTCAGAAAGTACCTATGCTCTTAGCATATCCACCTTCTCCGGATTTGTATACTCCATCGCGATTTGCCTATACCGATACCGATTACCGACACAGAAATATGCACTAACGAACATTTCACAACATTTTAAACACAACCTCCGATCACTTTCTCGAATTTTAAAAGCTCGATACTATTAGAAATTAGATCGATTTCTAATAGTGTACATGCTTTGTGTACATGCGATTAATAATGTCGTTAGTCGTTAATATAATACAGGAATCTGTAATTTTCTCCCCACCGCCTATTGCATTGGAAAAAACCGCGGCAAGTTTTCTGCTTTTGAAATTACGATCGATGGCATTTTATTGTGTAAAAGTGGATGGTAAATGGCATCGATCGTAATTTCTCAGGCAATTTAACGTCTAAAGCAATCTCAGGCAATTTAACGTCTCAAAAAAATGAGTATACCTGCTAGGTATACTCATTTTTTTATCAAAAAAGCTTTATAGAAAAAAAAATAACTGAACATGTTAGTAGCTTTATTACTAATTAAACTATTCAAAACATGTTCTGATATTACTAAAAAAATTTAAGTAAAAAATATAGCAAATTTTATAGTTTGACGACGTTATAATTAACAATAGGCAAATGGAAAAAATTACCTAACTACATATTAGAGACATAATTCCATACCTAGAAATACCGTATGGTCGAAAAAAACGGCGTCCAGAATGGCTTGAAAATAACGGTCGGTGACATTCTCCATAAAATTTTACACATATGTAAATTGACAGCGATCTTTATTTCATAGCCCTCGCTGACGCCGTTTTTTTTTCACTACCATATTGTGTTTCCATTAATCGCATGGTGGCAATACTAATTTATATTTAAAGAGATATATCTAAATGTGTATAAACTAGGTATTTTATTAGCAATCATATTTAAGCTATTATGACTCATATCATATTCTAATTATTTGAAACTTGAAACATAATATTTACTCCTATTATATTCATGTAACTAAATTTTCTAATATTAATAACTCTCTGATAATAAAAAAACAAGAGTGTGTTTTGAAAAAGTAAAGCATAATTACTGTGTATTGACTTTATTGTGAAAAGCAACCTATTTGAAACACATTTACGTAACTACAGAATAGTTTAAAAAGAACTTACACACATGTTTTTAGTCTATTTTCTTTATTATATTTGAAAACTACAGTCCCCCTTCAATACATAAAAACATTTATATTCAAATATACTCTAGATAGAGCTCCAATTTTTTATATGAAATGAGAATTTGTTCACACATAAACTACCGTATGATCGAGAAAAAACGGCGTCAACGATGGCTATGAAATGAAGGTCGCTGTCATTTTATATATATAAATTTATATAGGGAAATGTCATTGATCGTCATTTCCCAGCCAACTGAACGCCGTTTTTCGATCATATGGTACATTTTATGTATTTTATTCTTTAATTTTAATTACTACAAATGGTCTTGATATTTTTCTTTTGAATACATAATATATTCTTGTTACTCTCTTTCATCTTTGTCTCTAATATACAGATGCATTGCAATTTGTTGTTAGTATATTTATGTAATCATTTCATAAATCCTAAAAATAAAAATGGTTATAACATGCTTTCCAGATATCCATATCCACAATATTCTGTGTGTAAATATGTTCAATTTTTAATAACCCATTCACTAAATCAGATTGTGAGACAACATACAGGTAGCTGTTTAAATAATTTTCAATCTTTGTATGTAATAATAGATTTCAAATATTATATGCATTACCAAGCATTACACAATATGCATTACCTGCAATAATAAAAGATATTTTCTTTAAAGTGTATAATTCTATCTAACACACTTCTAATAAAGTATACTCTGACTCTTTGAACATTTGTTACAGCTTCTAATAATTAGGTATATCGATAACTTCCTAAGAAATTTTGTTAGCACTTTTAGTTAGTTTACCATTTTTCTCAATATATTCTGCAGAATATAATATGACTCGATACATTCACCTAGAATAAAATCAATAATATCATTTATGAATAGAAAACTACATGTATAACTTTTTCATTAATATTTGCAATTTCAGACCAGAACTTGTCTGAAGAGAACTTTCTTGGTTTGTTTAAAAATATCTTACCGTATAACATAAATTTACATCTGAATTAATCTAATCAGATCAAATTTTCTTCATAGTATAGAAAACATCGAAACTATTTGACTGGTAATCGAGCTATCAATAAGCTGACACTAAAATTTAATGAATAATTAAATGGGATAATTATTTTCATGTAAAACAAAACTTTATACTTAATAAGACCACAGGGAGTACATTATTACAACAGTGTTACTGAGATTTGATTTAATGTATTGCTTGGTATTTGTAGATCTGTTATTGTATTGTGATTACAATTGCCTTCTTCTCCATTGATGCATCCTAATTTAAGATTACTGATTTTCTAATACGTAATTAAAGTGAAATTATTTTTCCTACCATTACATAATTAATTTCTTCCTACCATTAAGTAGATACCTGAAAGGTTAATAAATTAAAAACGAATTTATTAAGACATTTAAACTGTTTACCTCATTTCTCACATATTTTTGACACAAAACATTATAAATAAATCAAAAAATATTCGTATACCAACTGAATTATACGATATTTCATTTTGAATAATAAAAGCACTTTTTTACAGGTTTATTTGGCATTGTTTGCATTGTTTTTTGTTGGTTTCTGTTTTGTTTTTGTGCGAATTTAATAACCCACGAATAACCTTAAACATAACCTTAAACTACACACCATACTAGGGATGTACGCTTCGAATCGATTTTTATCAAATCGACGTGATTTTTATCAAACGATTTTTTGGTATAATCGATCTTTTTTTTTTAAATCGAAGACCGATTTTATTTATACAGTTTTACAGGTTTATTTATTTGTTAGAATTTAGAATAAGAAAAAACACTTTAGTTTTGCTGGAATATTTGTTTGCAGTGCATCCCTAGTAAAAGGCCATCTAGCAATGAACTGAAAAATTAAGTGTAAGTGCTCGCTGCCGCATGCGCCGATGTTTGTTTATCACTTTGATATCAGGTGTCAGATTTTTGTCAGTGCTTCCCATATTTTTATATTTTAGATAACGTAGAATATTCTTTGATTTTACCTTAATTCTTTCTTGTATTTTTATTTTATTTTTGGGATATCCCTACTCCATACATTAAACATTTAGAAATAGTAATACATCAGTCCAGTAGAGGACGCTAAGTCAAAAAATTCCCAAATAAAAAATTGTAATTTGTAATTCCTTCAGTGTTTTCGAAATCGGGGTTGCGTCGGTTTTGAAGAAATGTCGAAGAAAACCCCGGACTGTCTACCATCAGCAGCCGGATATAAGTAGTTATTAAAGCAAGTTTTTTTTAACATTTTTTATTGTATTTATGAGTTTAGTGTTTGATTATTATCATGTGAAAAAATTTAAATAATATTTTAAAAGTGATAAGCATGTGATAGGTTTGTGATTTTCAGTTTAATAGATATTTGGTGTGTATGTGTTTGCGTATATGTGTGCTGGATAAAAACACTTTCATTAAAAGGGTAAGCTCTAACTAAACATTAAAGGTTATACTTGTTTATTGAAACGATTGAAAATATTTTCTAATATGGCGAAAAAAGAAGCTATAATTGTTAAGATTTATTTTTTTCAGTTTACTCCACTGTAAAAAGTATTTAAAATATTGCGCGTTTCTCTAGAATTAGTAGAGCAATCTACACTAATATGAATAAAATTAATTTTCGTATTTT